CAAAAACAGGCACGTTGACTTTAAAGCTTTACATCTCCTATCTGCCTTGCCCTAGAGACAAACCAAAACCAGCTACAGGAAGCCCTGTGATTGGATGACCCCAGGAATGACCTGTTTCAGCTTGTTCTCATATTTGAGGCCCTTACTGGGTGCAAAAGTGACGCCCGATTTATTTACATGTTCGGTCACATTTTTATGGTTTTCTCATGGATTCGGGTAGTATTTTGACATTCGGTCATTTTCAATCAATTATTATCACATTTGTTTCTTTGCAAGCTTAAAAACATTATTTTTAATGCTTGTTATCAACACTTGGGCACAATGATAGTTTGTCTAAAGTGGTTTTCACCATTTATAGCTATTTTAATGAGAATGTATCTGACCCACTCTACTACGTGGTATCTGACTCTACTACACTGGCATCTGGCCCACTCAACTACACTGGTATCTGACTCTGCTACACTGATATCCGACTGTATTACACACTGGTATCTGACTCTACCACACTGGTGTCTGAAACCCCCCAATTCTGACATTCATCATTACTCTGGGTACAGCCCCAATTCAATTGCAGTTCGTTCACGCTTGCCCCCTTGCTCCGCTACTCCGGGTTTAGCCCCAATTCAAATTCAATCAATCACACTCCGCTGTTTGTAGATCTTTCTAGGCCCCATGAAACTGAAAAATAGCAGACAGCGCCGCATTCACCTCTCTCTTCCACTTCCAGTTCCCCAGTCCGGGTTTGGCCCCACCTGCAGACAGCGCAGCGGCGCATTCGTTATTGATCGCCTAGCGACTAGCGATATTTGAGTACTCTTGGGGCCAAAACCGGATTATGTATTATCGATATTTGAGTACTCTTGGGGCAAAAACCGGATTATGCACGCTGTTTTGCTAAGTTGATGAAGAAAAAGCTGTCTTAAGGACTATTTTTAGCAAAATATCGCCGTAACTGTTGTTTCAACGAAAGTAAGGGAGGTTGCTTTAGGTTTGTGTGCCACTCTTTTGGGGCTAGATTTAAAAACAAAGTTTTAAACGATTTTTTTGTACTTCAGTGCCCGACAGCTAAAAAAAAACGTGCTGCCCGACCCGGTACGATTACTCTAGATCTAGATAGATCTAGATCTAGATCTAGCTCTTAGATCTAGCGGGTCAGCAGAAAGATTCTCTAGATTCTAGATTAGATATCCAGTAGGGCTGTACCCCGGTAGCAAACCCGCTCGTGCTCACAAGCCCCTAGTTCAAGTCACAAGCCTCAAATCACTAGGTCAAATCATCAAATCAAATCACCAGCATGATAAGTTGAGTCTAGCGCAAACTGTAACCTCCTTGGTCTAGTCAACTTCAAGTCCAGAGCAACCAGCAATCCGCGAAGCCACTCGTGTCAGGCCCCCTCATCATCCCCACCCTGCTTGCAATCCGCGAAGCCACTTACGTCAGAAAAAGAAAGAGGAGGAGAGTGAGAGATCTCGCCCACAAAGTCACTGCGCGGCGTGGCGCTGTAGTTTACACGATTAATCGAAGGCCCGCGTAAGCCTCAAGTCCTGTCCGCAGCCACAGGCCCCACAATTCACACAGTACTGATTTGCGCTAGGCCTAGAGATTTGCCCCGGGACAAGCTCGAAACCTGACCTGCTGACTTGTACTGTCTCGATACACCGAGCGAGCGGCATGGGCTCGATGGTGTAGGACCGTCTTGATGGCGACAAGACAGTCCGATGTGTTCAAACAGCAAGACAGTACTGCTCGCTGTGTGAACTTTGAACCGTGGAGGAAGGGAGAGGCTGGGCTTGTTTTGGTGCAAGGCGTAGAGAGCTGAAGTTATTTTTAACTTCCCGCCGTTGATCAGCTAAGCGAATGGATAAGTGAGAGGGAGCGTGGTATTGCAGTAACAGAGACCTAGGTTTCTGGTAGTAATAAGAATAAGTTGACTTAGATTACCCTAAAATGGAAAACTCCAGGGGTCGTTGTGACTGGCTTTTGTATCATATGTATGTAACCAGACCTGCCACTCTATGAAACCTCAAAATCAGGAACTCAGGGAGCAAAAATCAGGATTTGGTGAAAAAAAATCGGGATCAACAGCAAATCACCAAGGTGACTGCCACAGCTGACTTAAAATTTTTCCAGGGGTGTCCATAAATTACTGGCCTATATGCCCTCTGAGTGTGTTTGTTTGTGTTTGTGTGTGTGTGTGTGTGTGTGTGTGTGTGTGTGTGTGTGTGTGTGTGTGTGTGTGTGTGCGCGAGCGCGCACGTGCGTGCGAGTTATCATTTTTTTTGGTGTAAATCCTGAAGCATCACGTCAAGCACTCCTAGTCCAAGTGTCTATACCCCCCACCCCAACCAATAATTCCCGAAATACATGAACTTAAGTTGACCCCGTCAACGGACGGTCCCCGACACGCAGAACTCACACAGCGATGTCATGTCACGTGACGCAAATGCGCTGATTGAAACAATTTTATTAACGGGTCCGACTAACTGCGCGTTCACACAAAACTCTCAGATGAGCGACAGTCGTTCTACTTCTAGTACTCTATGATAACAACGGCGGCCGACCGCCCAATTGTACCAACAAATCTCTTATCCCTCAAAATGCGTTCAGACTAAAGCAACGACAACGGCCGTATGTTAGTCTTGTCAGCGCAGTTACATGTAGTTGTGTAAGGGTTAGAAAGACTGTTGTTCGTCTGAGTATTTGGTGTGAAAGCGCAGTTACCAGACCTCGGACAAGGCTTGTTTTGAAAGTAGCAGTGGAAGTACGAATATTATCGATTATTTGTATGTCCCAAATAAATTGTTATAGTTACCAGGCTATCATCGGAGAATTCTGAGTGCGGGCAAAGATCACACACAACTTGGGGCGAGTCAATTACATCGATATTTCGAGAAACAGTGCTCCGAGTTCCTACTGACAAAAAGTTCAACGGGTGCTTCCCGCGATAAAGGAGAAGGCAGAGTAAGTTTTTAGAAAAATCCGGCACAACAGCGGACTGGGACAAAAATCGGGATACACGCGATCGAAATCGGGAAAATCAGGATGCTTGAGATTTGGGGCAAAAAATCGGGATATCCCGACTAAATTGGGATGAGTGGCAGGTCTGTGTAACCTATTTTGTAGATGTGTTACACTCACAGTGACATAATACAGAACATTTAGGAGACGGGCTAGGCCTACTTCAACCCAATGTAGCAATGCCAATGAAAATTTAAATTTTCACTTTTATCCCCTTTTTTTGGTACCTAAGAAAGAATTTTCAATTCTAAGAATTATGCTTCTTGAATTTTGAGAATCGGTTCAAAAATAAAAAAGTTATGGGGTTGTAAAGGTCGGCAAAATATGGATGACCCACATAGGAAAATACTCCTAAAAAGTGGACCACGCAGTAGCAGATTCTGTAAGAAAATCAACGGTATCTCAGTAACTAATCGGAGTGTTCGAGAGAAACTTGGCTACCCGATGTGTTTTTGAGTGTAGAAATCATTTCTGCAGTCAGATTTACTACCAATTTCGTAGTTATTTTGTTATAATTAAAATTGTGGTGTACATATTACGTTTTTGTGAAAAAGGGGTGTCGGGATGAGTCCATTTTATTTATAGCATCGTATCACAACATGGGATCTTTAAGAATATGTCGGCAGCGTGACTAAATAATTGCAAAGCTTTTTATGATGACTTTAGACCATGCCAACCTTAAAAGATAAGTTAATTCAATCTAGCATGCCGTACAATTAAAAATTCTTTTTCCCCGTTGAGACGCGAACACCCCGAGACGAGATTTATAACCTCACCTCGGAATACCCCCATAGCGATGTTACAGGGGAATAGAAAGAAAAACAACCGGATGCGCGCGCCCGCCATAGGCCTATTTCAAGTGACCAATGAACGGGCCCGGAATAGTCATGCGGGGATTTGTAGGTCACATACATTTGCCACGAGAGTGAGGGGAAAATGGCCGGTCTCCGTGCGAAGCCGCTTTGGATAGGGGGGTAGTCGTGCATTTATGATCGGGTCTAAACAACTACTTGACACAGAATGTACAAATTTGAGCACACTATAGAGGATAGATAGACCTATTACCATCTCGGCGTTGAAATTCAAACTCCTTATAGTTTTCGGTGTACACGATACGAAAGTGTTCCCGACACCAAAAGTATAGGTTAATTTATGTGTACGAACTTCAAGGTCCACATATCATTAGTTTGCCCTATTTTCTGATTGGTTGCCGAGTTTCATTCGGATTGGTTTGGAAATAGAGCAGACCGAGGTTGACAAAGTTAGTCACCTACGCTTTGGCCGGGTCCGCAAAATCGCCCGTAAACGGAGACCAAATTTTCACCTCGCGGGAAAGCCCGATTGGCATTGCTACCCAATGTCAGGGCCAACCTGGGCTGAGACTACGCCCCAGCAGAAAGACGGAGGTTCTCAGTAAAAATTTCTCCCCATACGGGAATCGAACTGAAGTCTTTTGCGTGCGATGATGAAGCGCTTGGCTCGTGCACATTAAAAATAAACAGGCCTTAACATCATAAGAATAGCCGATCCAATATTAATTTTTAAGTGCATTGAATAGAGCTTTTTGTTTTTTACAACCGAACTATGAAAAAAACCCCAACCGATCTTGCACTTTTGGTGCAAGCCTCTCAACGCAAATAACCAGAGAATCTTCTGTAATATGTACTGAGCCCACTGCCACGAGAGTTCGCGACGTCACGACACAGTACAGTAGGACTGTCCGCGAGTCACAACTCACCAGAAGTTCCCTCCGGTAGCAAGCGGGAGGCAAATCAAACCACAAGCCTGCTCACAAGCCTCTAGCCTAGCGCAAGACGTCCACTGATTTGCAAGCCTTCGATTAACCCTAATATCCAGTAACTTACAACCTTGTCCATTACTTAGTAACTTAGACTTCCTAAGTGAGTCTCAGTTAAATTAATCTAGATCTAGATCTAGATATCTAGAATCTACTAGGCTGGATCTACAGTTCAGAGTCTCACCTCATGTGCCTGCTTCCTCCGTGGGATTTGCAGAATCTGAAGGTTATTCGTTTGAGTTGACACACGTAACGGCCGACACCATTTTGTAGCACATTTTTCACAAAGTCTCTGGGAATTGCATTGTTTGACATGACCAGTTTTGCTCACCGACTGTCCGTGATGGCAACAAATTAACTTAAATGACTACACAAACGTTCCCATTCATATAATGAGCACGAAGTGTAGGGATTGAGAACGAAAGGTCGATGATAACAGAAACAGCGAGTTACCTTGACTGCTAAAACTGCATGATTTCTAAACGTCTGAAATTTAACGCGCGATCACTAAAAATCATGCACGCCAACTTCACCAAATGTCACGAAACGATGACAGACAACCTAGATCTAGAATTCTATCTCAGGTAATTTTTTACCTCGACAGGGAGCACTGATAAATTTAAGATGTTAACAATCGTAAAAATTTTATCAGACTATTGAATAAGAATATTGCAAGGTGTCTGATCTAACTACATGTATATTTAGCTATTATTTGTCTACTTTCGTTTTTACACAACACTGACTTCCGTCTGCGGCCTGCGGTTTTGTGTGAACTGTGAACGAACGAATGAATGGCAGTCAATCACAGTTGCGAACCGCGCGCTTCTTCTTCTAGCCAGGCTACGCTGGAAGTCTAAAATCTTTGCCTTGGGAAAGCCAGTCTCATGTTAATCCACAGTATTAGTCTGTTCTATATCTAGATATCTAGATTTAGTATAGATCTACAAGGTGTTGCATATAGATCTAGATTTCTATAGTATAAATCTCTACTAGATCTAGATCTAGATTCTAGATCTAGATATCTAATTGAAATTGCATTAAAAGGCTTGAAGGTAATTTTAGCTTCCTACTCAACTACTCAACTGTTATTATTAACGGCCAGTGGCTACATTCACGGCGTAGGCCTAGTTGGAAGGCTTCGTTCACAGCGTCCTAAATGCGGTTTGCATACGCTGTTGAGCCTACGCTCACGGCACTTCACTAAAGACTAAAGTGGTCTAAAGTCTAAAGCTTCGTTTAGACTTAGACACGGAGCGTCCACTGCCGGTTAAAGTCAGCCGGTTTTAGTCAGTGATGACTACATGCCGTTAAACGTAGAAGACACGTCTTTCTGATTGGCTGCTAATTTTAGTAATTTGATGTCATCTGGGATACCCACAGACTATTTTAAGAAGGCCGTGGAGGTACTGCATGCCGCATGTGATAAAATGACGTGTTCCCTTTATTTTAATAACATTTCGGAATATTCCAGTATTGACACCGTACGAATGTCAACAATTTCCTTCTTTGATACATTGAAGGGTTTGAGCTTCCTAATTTTCCGGTTCACTGCGTTTAGATCTATTGAATTCATTCTTTGAATGTTTCCTACTCTATTAGCTATTAGCCTCTAATCTAGATCTACCGTATAAAAGAGACTATTCATCATCGGAGCACGCCATCATCATATTAAATGTACCCGTGTCCCTGGAAAAACATCGCACCGAAGCGTCGTGCCATCCCGTTGGCTATATTTACATAGTCACATGATCGGAGGGGTGGTCAGATCTGACGTCACACAAAATGGCCGCTGTACGTAAAAATAGTTTGCGTCCTTCTATGTTTAATCGCATGTGGTGTGACGACTGTGACATGTGTATATTTAATATATATATATATATAATATTTAGGCCAGCTTCAATGAAGCGCCCTTGCCCTTACAGAATTAAAGTCGGGATAGATTTAGACATGGGAGGAAAATTGGATACGGTACATGAGAAACAAGAGGTGAGAGATGGGAAACAGAAAGTGGGATTCGGAAGATGGGACTGGTCATAAATAAATGTCGTGTACAAATAATGACTGTATTTCACCGGGTCAGCCTGGGAACCGACGCAGAGAGAAAATGACGGGAATCAATTATTCTTATTATATATATATAATACTGGACCAAACACCCACTCCCTCTGTCTCTCCCCTTTCTCGTTCCTTCTCTTTCTCCTCCCCCTTCCCCCCCCCCTTCTCTCTCTCACCTTTTCTCTGTTGCTGTGTGTCTGTCTGTCTCTCATTTTTTTCGCCCCCCCCCCCACCCTCTCCCTCTCTCTTTCTCTCCCCCCCCCCCCCACCTCTCTCTCTCTCTCTATAGTCTTTCTCACACACACACACGCACATTTCACTGCCCACAGACAAAATTACACACTTATAACTCGAGATCGCTGGAACGTTTGTTTACTCTCGTATAGAGATCTATCCTGTCCCTGTCGGATTATGCGATTGTGCGGCCTTATTTTTTCGCGTAATTCCACATTTACATAATTTTGGATTCTCCACGTTTTTTCTTTTTTTTTTTTCATTTACAAAGAATTATTTAGCTCCTCCCCTTGTGACTATTTTAGCGGATATGGGAGCACCCCCAGACAGAAAAGCACGCAGAAGACGTAGAGGTGGACCGAAAGCAGGGTTGGTGATTTTTTTGATTTTTTAAAAAAAATCGATTTTTTAAATTTAAATCAGATTTTTTTTATTAAAAAAAAAATGTCGACACAGTTTGGGATTTTTGGTTGCTAAAAGTATGTTCTTTTAGTGCAAAATGCATTGTCTTAATTTAACTAATGATTAAATTAAGCAACCTCAAAAGAAAGCCTTAATCTGCTATATAATAGTATATATATATATATATATATATATATATATATCAGTGAATTATGGCTACAGACAAAAAATGAAGAAAATGTCAGTCTAAAAGGAAGGGGTAGGGGGGGGGGGGTAATTATGCATAGATAAACTTGCATTTTATTACAGTGTGTGTGTGTGTGCACGCGCTTGTGTTTGTCTAAAAAGAAAAAGAAAATGTTAATTTCAATAATGAAAAAAAAGTAAATTGAATGCTGTATTATTTTAGTGACAGGGGGGAAAGCAGACTTTTAAGCATGATTTTATTAGTCTACTAAACCTTATATACTGTTTTATAAAACCAAGGAAAGGAATTCTGAATATTTAAAGATGTAAAAACAGAATACATTTTTTTAAAGTGATTTAAATCACTGAGTTTTATTTTTATAATCAAGTTGATTTAAAAATTTTTAAAAATAAACTGATTTAAATCGACCTGATTTAAATCAACCCAACCCTGATTTCAATTATGAAAAAAAAGTCAATTGAATACACTGTATTATTTTACTGTAAAATAATACAGTATTCAATTTACTTTTTTTCCCATAATTGAAATCAGAGCTGGGTTGATTTAAATCAGTTGATTTTTTTTATATTTCAATCAACTTGATTTTAAAAATAAAAATCAAGGAAAGGAATTCTGAATGTTCAAATATGTAAATACTGAATACATTTGTTAAAAAGTGATTTAAATCACTGATTTTTATTTTAAAAATCAAGTTGATTGAAATATAAAAAAAATCAACTGATTTAAATCAACCCAGCTCTGATTTCAATTATGGGAAAAAAAGTAAATTGAATACTGTATTATTTTACAGTGAAAGGTGGGAAAGCAGACTTTTAAACATGAATTATATTAGTCTACTTAACCTTATATCTGTTTTATGAAACCAAGGAAGGGAATTCTGAATGTTGAAATATGTAAAAGCTGAATAAAAATAATTTTTTTAAAAAGTGATTTAAATCACTGATTTTTATCCAAAAAATCAAGTTGATTTAAATTTAAAAAATCAACTGATTTAAATCAACCCAACCCTGACCGAAAGGTGCCGATAGTTGGGCTAGCCCAAACCGTCTCGCGCAAGTCTCATTTTGATGACAGGATCCAAACTAAAGGGAAGTAATCAACTTAATAAGTCTCATTTAAGGTTATTTCCCTTGTTAGAAGATCTTGGATAGCCTAATGGGTTAGGGATTTTGTTCCTTGAGCATGTTCAGTTTTTCAACCCATCAAAAGTTATGTCTGCTGATGTTTCATGTTTGACAGATGTCCCTGGTTTTAGTGATGTGCCAACCACAGAGGTCCAGATGTCTTTTTCTTTTTACATTTTTCTTTCCTCTATAGATCTACAGCTGAAAGTTACCGAGATTGGTAATTCTTCTTGAAAAAGTGCAAAACATGTCGCGAATGGCGTTACGGTAACTTGCATAATTTTTGCATAATTTTGCTTTTTTCTTGCATAATTTGGCCATCTAAATTTGCATAACTGCGGGGACAGTATATTGCTGGCCGTCACATGCTAACACAAGGTCGCTCCCAAGTCTCGACCGGACGCAAGATAGGGCAATTGAAACATCTTGGTGTGTATACATTTTTGTCATTATGTTCCTAATGCGTTGTTGCGTAATTGAGAGTTCGTCGTTTTTCCCTTACACTGGCGAGCTCTGAGCCAGAGCTCAGTGTTAGAGGAAATAACGAATGGTCGATCGGTCAAGGATCACTGGGCTTTGTTTTCCTTTATCTCTAGGGTTGGAACGCTTGAAGCAGGCCAAAATATTAAATATTCGTCACTGTCGTCACTGGCTTAAACCGGCAGTGGACATTCCGTCTTAACGAAGCTTGAGTGCCATGAATGTAGCCTCAACAGCGCCTGCAAACTGCACTCAGGGCGCTGTAAACGAAGCCTGCCAACTACGTTTACAGCGCCGTGAACGTCGCCACTACATATTATTAATTAGGTCTGTTGTCTGTTGTTGGTACTGACTGCTGTTACTGTATTACTTATAGGCTCATTCAATATCAATACCAATGGGCGTGAGTGGCAGTGGCGGTGATGATAGTGGTTGTTGTGCCCGAGCAGTAGGCCAATCTCCACAGTCTAGACTGGCTTCTAAGGCAAAATAGCCTATAAAAAGGCAGGCCTACTTTGAATTATTAGGAAAGAAGGTTTAGGGGGGGGGGGTGTAACTATACAGACCCAGTAACCGGGAAAGTCACAAAGTATACAGACCTGGTAGGGGAAATCTTTTGTGATTGCGGAAAGTTTCAACGCACTTTTGACTCACTCAGGGTAGACCTTGATCTAGGTTCTTTTACATCTATGGCCTAGGTCTATATCTAGACAGACAGACATAAATCATTGATCTAGTTTCGAGGCCTAGACCTAAATGAAGATTGGGGATATCTTTTCGATCGTTTTTCCTCCGTTTTGGAGTTGGAGGAATCAATAAGACATTTGAAGAAAAGACCGTCATATTTCAACCGAGCAGACACGCTCTCTATTTCTCTGTTTCACTTCATCTCTCTCTCTCACTCTCTCTCTATCTCTCTCTCTCTCACTTCTGTGTATCACTCGCCTTCTCTTTCTCTTTGTTTGTCTCTGTCTTTCTTTCTCCCCCACCTACTTTCCCACTCTGTCTTTCTCTCGTTCCCTCCTGTTAACTGTGGGGCATGTGATATTTGCTAGCACTCCCCCCTTCCCCCCTGTTCTCTCTCTATCTCTCTCTTTCTCTCTCTCTCGCTCTCTCTCTCGCTCTCTCTCTCTCTCTCTCTCTCTCTCTCTCTCTCTCTCTCTCTCTCTCTCACACACAAACACACACACACACACACACAATATACATACACACACTCTACCGGGTCTGGGCGCTGAAACTTTCCGAAATCACAAAAGATCTCTCCTACCGGGTCTGTATACTTCGTGACTTTGTTCCCGGTTACCGGGTCTGTATACACTTGGTTTTTTTTTTTTTTACTCATTCACTTGTCTCATGTAGCCTACACGTTTTATATGAAGTGGCTAGCCTAGCCATCTAGCTGTACAACTTAAGTATGGCGAGCCTGCTGGTCTAGCCATACTTAGGTCAGGCCCTATTGACCGAAACCTGTTGAATACACAGGTCTCATTCGATCAAGTAATTATTCGGATTTAAATTGATTTCTACATAATGCATCATGTCGGTAAGGCACCTTTTGGTTTCGTCTGAAATACAAATACTTTAGGTATTGCAAACTAATAAAAATTTATTTACAATTCAGTAGACCTATTTTTTGCTGTTTGTCAGTCTAGCCATCATTATTAAGTACGGTATTAAGTACGGCTAGCCTAGCCGCCATTAAGTACGGCTAGCAGTCTAGCCATCATTAAGTACGTTTCCCGTTTTATACTTTTTCTAGAGTAGTATTTTGCATGTTGAACACGAATATGGCCTTCATTTTTGCCGCAAATGAATTATTGAGTTATTGATGTTTAAAAACAGAACTATATTACAGTAGGACCAATGGCGTAGTAATATTTGACTTGTTTTTCTCTACATTTCACCTTGATTTGATATTTTGGGAATTAGGATTGAAATTTACTTGAAAACAATTGAATTGCAAGGGTTTTAGTGGCGTTATGTTGTGTGGCAGGTTTAGCCCTCAGATCAGTGCACTTGTGTGTGGGTGCAAAAGTAAAAATTTACCAGAAAGAATTTTTAGAATCTAGATCTACAAGAGTGGAAGTTTCTTGGTGATCTTTAGATTCTATGTGATAAAATAGTATTTATAATAATTTAGAGTCTACATTTTATTCAGATTCTTCTTGTTTCTACATTACAGCTTGTTCACTTTCGTCTGTTCACATGAAAAAAATTATATCTCATTAATTTACCTCTATGCCCACTAAACTTTCCATGGCACTTCTGCAGGCCAGTGACCAAATAAAACTTAAAAAAAAAAAAATCTTGATCATGTAAAAAAAGTTTTTATCTTTGGGCCCTATTAAAAACCGCTCTTTGGGTGCATACACAGGATGACTGAAATAAATGACTTACAGTAACCTTGCCTTCAACTCACTCATTTTCAGACAGCGACACCACCCTGCCCCGGTGTAAGTTTGTATTTATTTCGTCCTCCCCACTGTCTCTAGACGTTTCCACAGGCTCCATGTGAGTCTCGAAATATTTCATTGGGCAAACGTTAAAGTGTAGTGTTGAGGAAAATATTTTTAAAAATTTAATGTTTTTTTAGGTTTTTACTTTAATACTATAAATCCCCTATTATTTTTTTGACTGCTTACATCAAAGAAAACGTGTCGGGGGGGGGGGGGGGGGTCCCACTGAGCGCCTAATTTATCGTGTCAGGGTCACGGAAGTCAGTTCCCTGTCGCAGCTCTGATTTTTGGTACTTTTCAACGTAAAATTTAAGGTGTATTCATGTACTTGTGGTAATTATCATTTAATGCTCTCAAAGCACGCATTTCTGCTCTTGAGATTCAAAAAAGAATGGACACTATAACTTGTCTTGTTATTTTTGTTAGAAATAGAAGCACTGAAGTCGGCAATACTAAATTGTGAAATTTTTTCGACAAGTGAATGAAAAAATAAACCAATATAAAAATTAAAAAACGGCTTTACAAAATTTGACAAACTTTTGGAACATGAACAACATAACGTTGATGGAGATACTCACAAAAGATTGTATCTGCGCAGATGATAGAAAGCTGTATCCACATTACACATAATTCACTAAGAAGTAGTTCCTTCATATACTCGTCTAATTCTAATACAATCATGAATATCTGCATATTTTCTCTAAAATTTATAAAATTTACAATGTGGTCTCTCTACCCTGAGAAGTGCAAATCGATTTTAATGCTAGAATACATCTAAAATGCAAAACGTGAACTATATTTGTTATCTGTAAAAATTCCTTACCTTTCTTTTAAATAAAATGTTAAGTCTCTAGGTTTTGTTTTTGTATGTTGACTGAAAGACAGGGATAACTTGTAGTAACTGGGTTTTCAGAATAATTTCTAACTTTCCAATGACACTGAATCAGCACCAGGATTTTTCAGCTTTTATTTCTGTTTCTATGACCATTTGCAAAGACTGACAATGTTCTGATTTCTTTAAATTCTTTAGTGCCCACATATATTTCTGACACAAAAACTAAGAATGAATGTAGTAGCTGTCATTGTTTATATTCTATACAAGAAGTTTATCTCTACTCACCTTAAAATGTATATAATATATATTTACAGTTTTTTGTTTTAAAAAGATTACATATATATATCTTTCTTAGAGTAGCAGGCTGCCACAGACTCGGCATAATTCATGAACAAACACAGAGTGTCTTTCTCTCGTGTATTTAATGGTACAACAAGAGCCAACTCTGAGTGTTTTATGTAAAAAAGTACAGATGTGCAACTTTTTTCTCTTATAACTTGACTATTACTACCTGCGCAGATTTAGCCTAAGATTTCTGATTTTAAAAGACAGGATGATTTATAGTCAGTTAAATACAGATTTTGGAGAGATCAGTTGAGCCATTTTTAAATATCATTCATTTATTCATTAGTAAGTAGTGTAGTTAAAAATTGGACAAATTGGGTACTCTACAAACTCTTGTCTAGAACAAAAACTAAGTCACATAAATTAACCATTCCAACGCAGAATAAATCTCAAGACATTGAGCTTTTTATTGATTAGTGTAATGGTTTGCTGTGTTGGATGGGGAAGCACATATGTTTTCAAAAGTAGACAAAAATGTGAACTTCTTAACCAACACCGGCAAAGTCCCTTTGGGGCTTATTGACCCCGTGACCCTGAGCTGGGGAGTTCCGGGGGGGCTGCTGAGTTACCCTAACTAAAAGTAACAGATTCGGACGAAAAGTGACGCTGTGACGTGTGCATTGTAAAACTCAATGAAACTGTACAATGTTTTCCCCAGATTGGATCACTGCGATGTGTGAGCTGGCCGACGCATTTGCTTTTAGAAGCTATACCCTCTTCAGTGACTTCACTTTATTTTAGAGGTTTTGTTTAAACATTTTACTTTTTCATAACAAGTCTTATAACTGTCTTCTTCAACAGGATGCCTTCTAGTCGGAAAGCTGCAGCTCAAGAGAATAAAGTGCAAGTCACTTTATCAAAGTTCTTTTCCTCTGCTGGTCCAAAGAAAACAAAGAGTGGCCCTGTCATAAGTACAGATCAGAATGATGATTTCCAGGTGAGGTTAGATTGACCATGGTAGGCTACAGATAGAGTGCTTTCATGTTATTTTCTGCAGTGTCAAATTTTTTTCTCCAGTTATTATTGAAAATGAGAACCTCGTTGAGTAACGGATATCATAGGCCTCAGGCTTGGAGGGAAAACATTCCCTATACAGTAGAGCACACTATACTATAAAGAAAACTTTTGTAAAGGACTGAAGGAAATAAAAAACACATTTCTTTGCCCCTTTATTTTCTCGCTTTTTGTCATTTATATTTTGACGCATTTAGCGGACATACGATAACGAACTGACAGCTGTAACGAACCTATTTTCTTGCCCAACATGTCTTTTTCCTTCTGAAGTAACGAACCAGCCCATCTCTATGAGTTGATCGAACCAAGAGTTTCCCAACTGCAATGCGAGTCTGCCTACACAGTGACTACACATTGCCCACAAAGAGAGAAAAAAATGGAGCAAAGAAATGTTATGTTTATTTCCGTCAGTTATTTACAAAAGTGTTCTTTATAGGTGTGCTCTACTGTATTTTTAAAAGATAGACAGTGATCTCCATTCTAATGAAACGTAAATTTACTTTAAAAAGGTTACTGAAACCAAGTTAATGGGTAGTTGGCGGGTGCTCTGGTATGGCTTGCTCCTTTTCTATCTTCTGTCGTCTTTGTCTCTCCTTTTTTTGTATTTGTTACTCTCCTGTAATGACTTATAATTATATGACCTAATTGTGTCGCAAGTGCCGTAAAACTCTTACTAAAACAGACCAAGTTGCAAAAACAAGATTGAAGAATATTAACTTGTTGTATCATTTGGAAAGGTGAAACCTGTAATAATTTACTTGTTTTCGGATTTTTACCAATGTCCCTGTCTTGTGGTGTGAACATGGTGAATTATCTTCTTTTATTACCTTCATGCCAGTTGTGGTATGAAATGTATCCAAGACTTTCAAGCAAAAGTAAATTAAATGTACAATACTGTGTGAAAGAAATGATAAGGTTTGCTATATTACCTCTGTTATAATTTTTCATACAATGGGTTAGCTTCCACTTATATGAATAATTATGTTTTTCAGGTCATTGATGCTAAAGCAACTAAAAGGAAGTCGCCAAATGATGCTGATGACCTCATCAAAACTTCAAGCAAAAAGCCACGTCCACAAAAATCCTCAACGTCTTCATCAGGTGGACAGTCTTCCAAGAAGTCCTCTGAAGAGTTGATTGAACAATCTATTTCACCTGGAAGTTCGCAAGACGCTAATGGTCTCACAGAGTCAAAAAAGTCAAGTGATACATCTAGTTCGAAGACAATATCAGCATCTGAGAAACTGCAAAAGTTCAACTTGGAGGAAAATGAGGAGAAAGTATGTGTGTCTGATAAAGTTGTTACTTCTAAAAATTGCCCTGTCATTGACTTTACTCCCTGTGGAGACGTTGTTCCTCCTGAAGTCATTCTGAATTCAGACAGTGAGGAAGAAGACAAATCGTCATCATCATCATCGAAACGAACAGCATCTTCCAAGAAGAAGAGCTCAGCTTCTTTCTTAAGTCAGTTTGCCCCAAACAAAAACAAAAAGACTGGTTCGGTAGCTGTGAAATATACACCTCTTGAGCAGCAGTTTGTGGACATCAAAGCCCAATACCCAGATGCTCTGTTACTTGTGGAATGTGGGTACAAATACAGATTTTTTGGTGAGGATGCTGAGGTGAGTTTGGATTATTTATGTTTGTTTTTTTAGTACATGGTCTGCCGTCTTATAAGTGATATATGTACATCTGTCTGATTATGTCTTTGATGAAATTATGTTTAGAGCCTGTAGTCAATCACTGACTTAGATTATTGGTCACTTATGAAATGGAAAGAATTCTGGTTCAGCAAAAATATGATACAGTAAAAGTATGTGCCCAGTTTTGACTTGTACTTTACGTCACTTTTTGTTATGGCATCTGACATCATGATACTGTTGCCACAAGATATCAATTCAAGTAACAGATTCTGTGATTCTCATCTGAAAAAACAAATATTGCAAGTGCCTGGAGAGTCCTGAGCACACGAATGATTGTTGAGACAAAGGGTCACTTGCTCTTCATGATTTTCACTCAATCAATTTAAATTATTGTAATCACTATCATATTGTCATACTGTGATCCAGAATAAACTGAAATCAGCAAAGTGTTCTGTGGATTATTATTTTTTTCCTTTGATTGTATTTTATTTCTTGTCCTTCACAGACAGCAGCCAAAGTCCTAAAAATATTCTGTCATCTTGACCACAATTTTATGACAGCCAGTATTCCAGTACATCGCCTCTTTGTACATGTGAGGCGATTGGTTTCTGCTGGCCATAAGGTATAATAATTTGGAATTGCTAAAGAAAAATAAGTGTTCAAATTCATTTTAAAAACTTTTTGATTAATTAAATTGTGCTTATATTTATCAATGCTCATACTTGCTTTTGATCATGTAAGGAATGTAAACGTAACGTGTGTTAATTGCAATGACATTCTAACAATCAAGGTGGTCAGTACTTTAGAACTCTGCTTAAGAACCTGATGTGCCTAAGAACTGGGTTTAACTACAGTAACTAGATTTTTTTTCTCTAAGAGCCTGTTCCAAAAATAAAACTCTCTTTAGAACCTGATCTGAGCTCAGAGCAGTTAACTTGTCTGAGCTGCTTTAATGTGCTTTGTGTAAGTTGAGGTGAAGAGTGAGGGGTTAAGGTGGGCTTGCTGACAGAAAAATCTCCTGCAGACTTACACAGAACATTACTTAAATATGCGTGTGAGCTCTGCTGGTGCTGTTTCATTGTTTCAGTATGCTGTCTGATCATTGTGGCAAAGTTGTGTTATAAAGATTCACTCTGAAGCTTCTGGTTTCCACATGCCCCCAAAATAATGCACACCACCCAGACATCTACACAGACACATATTTAATTGGGTTTTTTAAATTAAAAAAAACAAACTTCACTATAATAATATTCCCTTGGACATCAATTTTGTTGACGGGTCATTATTTTACTACAGAAGAATAAACAAGGGAAGTTAACGAGTAGAAGCTGAGCCATGCCCCTTTAAATCAAAGACCAGGTTCTTAGGCTGAGACCACTATATCAAGGCGTAACTTCATCTTTATGAAGGTGAATCTGAACAGTTAAATGTTATGGATTTCAAAGATGGATAAAGAACTTTGTGTCCTCTTTTTTTAATGAAATGTGGGAATGTTTCGTTTGTCCTGTTGCCTAGCTATGACTTATCAGTTTTCTCCTTTCTCTTTTGTCACACTTGAATGGTATTTCACTTCAGGTTGGAGTTGTGAAACAGACTGAAACAGCACACCTAAAGGCAGCTGGTGACAACAAGTCTGGGCCCTTCAGTAGAAAGCTTTCAGCATTGTACACAAAGTCTACTCTCATTGGAGAAGATATCCTTTGTAGTTTATAAAGCATTATCATGTGTCATTATGAACGAAGCCTTTTATGTAAACTGGATGGGAATCAGGGACTGAGGAATGAGGGAAGTTTTTGTATATTAGTATTTACTTTCAAATGAGGATATTTTGTCTCATGGTGACTGATATACTGTAATTCCTTGTCAAAAATGAAACTTTTGTTGTGTTTATCATGTCGAATATTAGATGTGACACACTTCAGATTCTTAGCACAAATAAAAAATTTGAACAAATTTACTCATGGCAAGCGTATTGTTTGATGAGTTAGTGAATTAGAAGCAAACAGATTATTACTTAGACACTATGAAGCTTACTTTATTTTTTTGTAGCTTAGCCTCTCATAAATTTATTTCATCTTTTTATATTATGAAATGCTTTGTGTACTTTTACATCATAGTGTTCATGTTTTGTAGAAGGTCATTTCACGTCTTGCCATAAAACTAAGAAACTATTGAGTGTTCTCTGGAGCAGATGGTAGACGTCATATTTTGTTTCACTTTTTTAGGACATTGAAACTGATATTACTTTACTTCATAGAGATAATGCCTTGACTAGCTCACATGTTGATTCAGCGTCTGGGGAATCTGACCTGTCCTCGACTTTGCCAGAAAGTCACTACCTCATGTGTATATACGAGCAGCCTCAGGAGACAGCCATTAAAACTGTCCATGTTGGCCTCATGGTAACTGAAATGTTGCAACTCATCAGTGTTACTCTTGCATTGTTCGTATAGTCTGCAGTCAAAGTCTTTTTTGATCGTGTTTTATTCATACTTTCATCGAACTGTTAATTTACATGCATGCTGCTTTTTTGTCAATGGTTTGCCATTTATTTTTATAGTGATATTCTTTTTTGAGTATTACTCATGTATTGAATACTTTTTCTTTTGGCATTTTCACATTTGTTTAAACTCTTATTGTCTGTTTGATGGTGGTGCTTTATATGGTTTGTCCCTTTACTTTTTAGTCGATAATTATGCGTGAATACTTCAATGTCCTGACACATTTATTATTTATAGGATATTAACTTTCTCTTTGTTTGGCGTTATGTGTTTAGCTTGTGTCTCTGTGCTTCTCTTTTAATTCCGCCAGGAATGAAAATTTGGTGTTACACTTTGTTTCTGTTCGGTTTCTTTGTGTAGTGCCTGGATTTTCCGATCCATGTTTGTTTAAAGAATCTGAAATCAAAATTCATGTTTAACTTTTATTTAAGACATTTCAGTGAACAAATGTTGTGATTTATCCTGTTGTTCCAAAACTGTACAGTACTGCCGCAAAATTATTTGGTTAAATATAAATTGATTTGACTTATCATGTAATAAAAATCTTTATTGTTTTTCCAGTGTGTGGATCCAGCAACTGGGGATATGGTTTTTGACTGTTTTCAAGACTCTACCACTTATACTGAGCTGGAAACACGCATTTCCCACCTGAAACCTGTTGAGATTTTGCTGTCCACAAAAGTCTCTGACAGGATGAATCAAATTTTAACAGACATTTCAACTTTCAGGTAATCATCATAATAAGTCTGATGGTTTATTTGATGTACTCTTGAGCTATTTAAACAGGTTTTGCTCTATGTTTAAGATAGGATACTTATGAACTTTGTGAAAACGGTCTGTTATTAGTTATAATATTGGTTTTCACCCCTCATCTACACAATTTAGATAATTTAGTTTGTCAGGGCTAACTTGGCCTGAGTGTGATCCAGCATCCCAACAGAAAGATGGAGGTACCTGATGAAATAGATTTCCCCTCTTGGGAATCGATCTCACTTCTTTCGTTTACAGGGAAGATGAGCCTGATCATTACACCAGACCCTGGTTTTGTCATTGTCAGTTGTAGCAATTTTATTAAAATTTAAAGTTTTTCTTTCTTTCTACTGTGTCTTTCATGTTTCCTTTTTGAAAACGTGTTGGCAGTGCCACTAAAGATGACAGAATCAGAATAGAGAAGTTGGACAATGATGAATTCCTCCATAGTCAAGCAGTAGCAGCAGTTTCTACTTTTTACAGCAATGGTGAGTCGACCAAAGAAGTGATTAATTTGAAAAGAGTGGCAATGATGAAAAGTAACTCTCTTAACCTGTATTTTACAGAACAAGTGATTAAAAAACAACCTTGGAGTTAAATATTTTTCTTTGCTTTTGTTTTAAGATGTATTTTGCTTGTTCTTCCTAAGAGGATGTTAGTCGTAAACTGTAGGAGGCAACTAACAAAATTTTTTCCCTCATGCCTGAAGAAAAAGGAAAGGTCAATGAGTGCCGCATTATATTAATTTTTGCTTAAGATTTTCTGCCTTTTTATTCTGCTATCTGCACCCATCTGTTCAATTGCCATCTCTATGACCTTTGTCTTTATTCATATTTCTAATGATAGGCTTTCGAATTTCAGCAACATTTTAGTGGGTATGCATTTGTATGAAATTGTCAAGGTTTTTTTTTGTTTGTTATTATAGTAGAGGGTTTTACGGCGCTCGCAACTGCATAAGGTCATATGAACGCCAAGTGTCAACGGTTTAAAGAAATGTTTCTTTGTGACGAACAAGCAAATTGTATTTCAACAGTTATGTTGCTTTTTGTTTTTAAAAAATTCAATGATTCTTAACATTCTTGTGTTATTTTGATGAGAGATCATGTTTGTCTTTCACTTGTAAATCCCATTTCTCGTAGTAAGATGCCTTGAGCTTAGTTTTCAAGAGAAAAGGCTTTTCATTTGTTATTTTCATTAATCTTGTTATAATTTCGAATTACTATTGTTTGTGTTGTATCATTGGTGCTGCTTTCTGTATTGTCAGATCACACTGGACTTCAAAAAGCCCTGAAACTTGAGAAACCTGTCATCAGTTGCCTTTCAGCCCTTATTTCCTATCTCAGAGATTTCAAACTCGATAAAATTTTATCTGAGACAAGGTAAGTTGTGCCTTACATGTGTTTCATACCATCACAATTTTTGTTAATTACCTTTTCCTTTAATTGAATTGTATTATATTGAGATGTTAATGAAAAATTGAATTGTATTCTATTGAGATGTTTTTCATTTGTTTGAATATATGCACTGTATGCATGTATTACTCTTTCATGATTTAATTAAGGATAAATGTTTTCTGCAGTGTAACTTTTCTTTCTTTTTTTTTTTTTTTACTTACCTTCCTTGAGAGAATCTTTGCCTACATTGAAGAAAATTGTCAATGATCTGCGTTTGCATTTATAATTGCTACCTTGGTAGAAAGGCTTACTTTCCTGTTGCAACTTTGTAAAGAAACATTTTAACTGTATTGTGTTAATGTATACTTTTGTTAAAGTATCCTTTTGTTAAAGAAACAAAAGTTCAGTATATTGTTCATTTGATAACTTGAATAGTCATCTTTTTTACAAATTGTGGTATACAATTAATTGAATATTCGTGTGTTTCAGCAACTTCCGGCCGTTCTCTGTGAGGTCATCATACATGCACCTGAGTGGTCAGTGTCTGCGCAACTTGGAGGTTTTTGCCAACTCCTGCGATGGCTCAGAAAGGGGCTCGCTGTTCTGGATGCTAAACCACACAAGAACGAAGTTTGGGTCTCGTTTGTTACGGCGATGGATCGCTCAACCCTTATTAGACAAAGAGTAAGTGAATACGTTTTTGCCAAAGAAAAATAGATTTCGAAAATAAGGCTAATGGTGTACGAGTGTAATGTAAAAGACATTGGCTTTAACCCTATCCTTACGCCCTGGGGTCATTTTGTACCCACGGGGTTGTATTCTTCACATTTTGGAATACTTGTAGTACGAAGATCTCTTTGAAACTCTCAGTATTTCTCAAAAAATCATTTTTACAGACTATGCAAAGCGTACGGATCGGATTAACGAGTAAATTTCCTCTTTGAAAGTGGTGGCACAGAGTTCCCCACGTCGTATGGATACGATAGTAAAACACGACATATGGATAGGGTTAAAGATCACACTCTCTGTAGTATTGATGATTATGAAAAGCACCTTAAAAATTGGCATATCATTAACTGAAAAACACTGGGTTGTTCTCTCTGGAAGAAACACTTGTCAACTCTTTGGTCAGTTACGCCTACAATTTTCCACTCCTTATCACTTGCAAGAGAATGCTGAAGACGACTTGATATGTACATCAAAAGTGAAATGTTGTTGTTTATAAGTAAAGAATGATCCTTAGCTTTTCATAGTGTTTTCATCATTTGTGAAGTTTTTGTTTGTATTGTGTGAATTTACACACGAAAAGCTGATTCAAATAGTACAACTGCGTCCAGGTAGCAAAAATGTCAGACTTTCTTGATAAGTTTATAGGGTATTTTGTGTTTGAATGAACGCCTTTGTATTTCTCATACTAATGTATTTGTGTTTCAAGTTGTGAGCAGCCATTTGGCTGGAAAGGTAAGTTCTGATGGGAATCTATATTTCGGCTTGAAACATTTTCTTTATCCACCAGTGATATTGAGGCTCGCCTGGATGCTGTTGAAGAAATTCGAAGGGGGGATATAGATGGTTTAAAGAAGCTGAAAGACATGATGATAAAGATGCCAGATGTCGAGAGAGGTCTATGTTCCATCTACCACAAAAAGGTGAGCTACTCTTATACCCGATTCCTCAGTGCTACCCTAGTTTAGATTGTTGTATTCGGTTTGGATTTTGATGTTCCATGGTCTCTATCACTACTCAATCAATACTTGTTGCTTCAGTTCTGAGAAAATATTTGTCTTGTTTCATGTGCAATGTAGCCGTATACACATATCATTTGAAACAAGCTGACTTCAGATTCGAAGCCCATACTATGTATGAGCATACAATAAGACAAGAAGAGAATGACAATAATGGTATTGTTTGGATTTTGAGCTCTTGTCATTCCTTCATCTTTGTTCTCTTTTTCATGTTGAACACCAGAGTTCTGCCGTGGAGTTTTTCAGCGTTGCTAAAGCTCTAGAGAAGATATGGAAAGAACTGCTTGAGATCCATAGAAGTGCGGCTAGCATTCTGCAGTCATCTCTACTGAAAAGTCTTCTGTCAGAGATACCTGAGCTACTCTCTGACATTGGCACCTACAGTTCAGCTATAAGTGAGAAAGCAGCAAGGTACGAATTCCTGGATTTTCCTACATTTGTCTACCTTTCACTGGGATAAGACCGTTAGGCTCAAGTTCTAGGGAGATCAACATTATATGGTCATTAGAAAAAGCTGATCACTTTTTTGTATAGATAGACACTTGAAATGTAGCAATACTTGACCTTGAATCTTTAACATGACCTGACAAAAAAGGTTTCTGCCATCTTCCACAACATTTCAGTAAATAAAATGGAGGGATTTCTTTTTAAAAAATCAAAGAAAATTCTCCAACTACATTTGAGAAGGCTTTTGCTAGAGTCTTGCATGTTCATCTTGATTTCTTCTGAATGTGTTCAAATAATGGTCAAAAACTTTTACCCAGAATGTTTCATTTTCAGTTTTTATCTCTTATGTTATGTTTTCATTGTAGATATGACTGTGAATTGATCTGAGAATTGATGACTCTAAGGCTTAATATACATGTATGGATCATCAAGAGTGTCAGTAAGACTAGCAATGCAAAGACATTCTAAGTTCTCTGTTGTTATTTCAGGGAGAATGACAAGAAGAATTTATTTGTCGATGATAACCAGTTTCCCAACGTGTGCAGCAGGAAGAAAGATATTCAGGAAGTCATGAAATGTCTGAATGATCATCGTAAAGAAGTAAGACTAGCACTGAAGCAACCTGGTCTAAATTTTGTGACTGTGAATCAGATAGAGGTAAGCAGACGTGTCTAGACCTACTACTGTTCAGTTTGTTATATGACTGGAAAAAGACAACAGCAATACTGAACTGTTTTTCAAAATCTGTTGATCTAAAATCAATTTGTAGAGATATTGAGAATAACTGGTACTTGTTCAGTATAGTCTATGTTTGTGCTTCTCAAAAATCTAAAAGTCATAACCTTGTAAAGCTGCTAATTATCAGTATCTGTGTCAGCTGTTCAAGACACAATGAATTCCTAAACAGCATTGAAGCAATGGGGGGGGATGAGAGAATATTTGAAGAAGTAATAGATTGTTGGAAGGTGAAAAAAATGGGTATTGGGTCTGGGCAGAAGAGGACATTTATGAAAGTACACATCTCTCAGATTGCTGTTAGACTGTAATAGATTTTGTAACTGATATTGTTTGACATTTTGATAGCATGAGAATGACAGGCCCATAGAATGGGTGAACTTTTAAAATCCGTGGACCGTATCCAGAAAGATCGTCTCAAAGATCTCTGTATAAGTAAGTTTTGCTGGAGCTGATTGGCCCGTCATGGCTTTACCAATTTGGGCAAGTCTCTTTCAGGTATGTTTTAGACTCCAGATGAAGAGTTTTTTTTACAAAGTTGTATCTATGCATGATTCTCTTGCTATGTTTTTTAAACAGAACCTTTTTCATTGTAGTATGCTTTTCTTTTTTTTTTAAAGTTTCTTGTGGAAGTGAAAAACACCCAGATGAAGGAGGTGCCTTCTAACTGGACTCAGATCAGCAGGTTTGTTGATGACTTTGAGATTTTTTTAAAAGTATGTATTTTTTGTTGTTGCAGCCAGTAAGTGGCAGATCACTGATAGTAATTCATCATTGTGCTGAAATTGCCACTACAAATCCAGCTGTAAACCTAATGATATGTCCCTGATGGCCTTTTTCTTTGTCCGTTATTCTACAAGGGACCGAGTACTGACCCTTCAGAATAACCTGTTCCATGACTCAAAGGTAGTTGCAACGAAATAATCAAGAAATTACTTGATTAGCGAAATGAAAATAT